GTTGTGGCCGGGCCGTAATACTCTCCCTCTTGGACCATGTCCAGGGCAACCACCACCGTGCATTGTCATGAGACTTGTGTCTGCTGTTGTTTAATGGATGTTCAGAGAGTCTTTGTCGTTTGAGGTCTCCTCCAATAAGCGACTCATCCAAATCCCGACCCTGTTTCATTTCATAAATGATTGGATCAGACGACTAGCAAATGGGAGAAAAAGGGAAATGCACTCGTTGAGGTGACTCACCGCAGGTTCATGCCTGGATGGGCCGTCAAGAGTAACAGGGTTGTCACCCAGAAATCTGCAAGTCAACTCATCGGTTAAGATATGGATGAGCTGAGATCGCCATACTCACATTTCCATGTCTCCTCACCTATAATTCCACTCGTAGACAATGGCAGGTGATGCTAAATCTCCCGTGAACGGTATTCTCACAGCGTAGCCAGCAAAAGAGCCTTCTTCGCCAAGAATCAAATCTCCTTCTTTCCAGGACACAACAGTTGGATGGTTAGCCGGACTGCTACCGGCAACTCGTGCTTTCTCTGTGACCGAAAGGCTTAAGAGCATGATTTTAGCCTTTCCTCGATTGTGTATGCCCAGAACGACGTGCCAATACGGTCGATTGCCGCTGGAAACTGCATTCGGCAAGCAGAGAGTAGCGTTTGATGTCATCTCAACGAGCGGAGTCGGCAAGTGAGCTTTCACCAAGTCAAACTTCCGTTTTGTTCCCCCGGTAGCTGTTCTCGACGACTCAATAGATTCCTGCCCTGCTGCATTCAGAGGTCTAGTCGTAGGCTCCATGTAGAGAGAGTAACGTATGCCTTTGAAGGAAGCGTTAATGGAGAGGGGTCGTAGGTTCTTGGATCAAATCAAGAAGTTGGCATCCTGAAGTTAATCCATGAGGAAAGTTTGGTCAAATGTTCAAACCTGATCTGATGCGGGTCACGAGGTACTAGCATACAGAGCTCTTCCGCGCGCTGCTCTTTGGTTGTGGGGTGCCGAGATGGGCCAGAGCCATGAGCCGTGAGAAGCTGAGGCATGATAGCGATCACGATTCACGAGTATGTCCTTGGGATTTGGGATTGGGAATCAGAGTGCAGGAGCCTCGAGGTTGGCTTGATCGAGACAAATATGCATCAAATATCCAGCTTCACAAACTCCCGTTGTGAAAGTGTATATTTATGAGCAAATAGAAATGCTCATGATCATCAATGGTAAGTTACGACACACTTATCAACATTGTACGACATCTAGAGCATTTCTTTCCATTCATTGTTTATTTTATGCTGCGTTTTTTCGAAACTGTTGAAATCGTCTGCTGTGCCAAACCTTAACCCTCAAAATATACTATGGTATGTGTTACTCACTCAAAATTTCCACTGAGTGTTTCCGCACTCCACCTCGGCTTTCTTGTGCACCGGTATCGCGTACAGCAAACAAGCAATAAATCCGCCAGGGGATTTCCTCTGGTAGACTTGCGTTGACCACAATTATTTGCGATCACAGCCTCGTCAGTCAGAATTATTGTTGCTCGTGACGTTCGTCGGGGTCAGTGCCGTGTGTTGCCGAGGGATCTCCTCCCACCGACCGACACCTGGAGCAATATGCGTAGAACCGCCTGCCGATAATTGTCCCCCCTGTCTTATCCACCACTGTTGCTGGCGTGGCGTGCGCGACATCTCGGGCCGCCTGAACAAGGGAGATGGGGAAGAAGCGGAAAGCCATTTGGCGGAATAAAGGCGACAGCACAGAACATTGTCCCCTTCGCGGAAAGCCCAGAGCGCAAAAGCGGACGCAGGGAGGTAAGGTTGGGAAGGAACTCGAGAACCTCCCTGATCTGGGGCATATGGAGCGCCCCTTGAAACCCACGCGCGCAAGAGAGCGTCTCCGAATCTCCGCATCTTGACGTCCCCTTCCGCCGCTATTGCGTCTCAGCGGAATTTTTATCCGTCCGATCTGCTCCGAACCTGCTATCCTTCGGCTTTCGAGGAAACAAGTCATGCTCAGCCCAGTCTTGGGAATCTTGCGCCCGATGCGGCTTGCCTCACAACACAACCACAACAGTGGCGAAGAGAGGTGTCGTTCGTAGGATAAGTGTCCCCTCCTATCTCCATTCACCTCGAATAATTTCTGCTGCGTGTCTAGTTCGTGTGATCTTCTCCCATTCTTTGCTTGTCGTGCATGTTCCATGCTCGCGAAACGCTGCTTTCATTACGTTGCGTGCGATGGCTCATTATTGTAGCTCTTTCGCCTCTTTCACTCTCTGGAAACACGCTAGTATTTCACCTCATTATTTTCACGAGCGCTAGTGGATCTCGTTTTCTCCTGTTGTGACGTTCGCGAGTAATCACGAGAGCCCAAGATGTCCGTCATTAGTCACGAAAGAGTTTTGCATTAGTCAAGTGTCCAGCCGCTGAGATAGACGAGACGACTTTGTAAGCCTCTTAACGCCGCGAGACTTTCTTGATACACGAGACACGCGCGCCCGCGTGCTGAGAAACAAGATCAATAAACCAAATTCTGCCCATCTTGACCGTGTCCATGGCTGACGGGCGGAATTCTTTGAAAGAAACCGTCCCGTCATATTTGACAGAAGGTACTGCAGTCAACGTTACTGAAAGACGCCGACTGCTGCGAGCCTCGCAGGGTTGTCCGCTCGGATGGCGGGTCGACGAGTCGTTGTCCGCTCGGACGGAGTTAGCCGACGGCGCGCTGGCGATTCGAGAGCATACACCTGCGCCGCCGCTACGGCTTTCTGCGCTGCCTGTTACACCGCCTTCCGCGCCGCGGGACATGGCGCCGAGCAGCAGCTGCGCACCGCAGCGATCAGCGCGACCTTCGAGTGGTGCCTGCCAAGCTCGGCGGAGGGCCTCCGGCGTTTGCGGGCGACTCGGACTTTTTGGGAGTTCCCAAAGCCCGATTTTTGCCACCGCTGGTGCTTCAAATGTTGCTACTATAAGGATTTCGGTTCCAGTAGTGACGCGGCGCGCATTCGTTCCGCTCGTGCTCGCACTAATGCTGCTCGTGATCCCGCTGTCCGCGTCCGCGTCCGCGTCTTCGGCAGAAGCTGCCGCAGCCGCGGCGGAGGGCGCACGAGAAGCCCGCGGACGCTCCCCGCGCAGGTTCTGGCGGAACACGCCCGACGATGCCGGGGAATGGCGGGAGCATTCCCGCGAACAGCTGAGCTGGACAGGCGGTAGTGAAGCAGCTTTTGGTGACGAGGAAAATACGCAGGAGCTGGAGTTGATCTCGCGATCGATTCCAACAGGGACGAAAGCACGGACGATGAGAACGCAGAGCGATTCAGTGGCCGTGAGAATGGGGAAAATAAAACCGCGACGGCGGTTGCCGTGGGGGAAAGCGGCAAGAGCTGGTCCCCGTAGTGCCGACGGAGCGGGTTGGTTTGCGCCGGATACGGCGGAGAGAAGATGGAGCGACTCGGATTACTACGGGGAACGCGGCGGAACCGGGGAATCCATGCGAAGGGGACGGCCGAGATCCTGGGATGAGGAAGATGGACGGTCGGACGGGGCGGATTATAACGAGGGTGGAGGATTCTACGGGGGTGACGGCGATGACGGAGGCTCGACGGAGTCCGTCGGTTCATGGACGGAACGTGCCGGTTGGTGGGCGCCAAGTGAGTATACTAGCGACGGAGTGGAAGGTGACGCTGTCGATGTGGCCGGCAGTGAGTGGACGGAACCTGACGGAGCTTTGACAGAACGCGGACGTGACAGGTCAGAAGAGGGAGCAGCGGAGGAGATCAACCAATGGGAGCAGGCATCGCTACCAGAGGAGTCTGACGTTGACGGAGGAGGTTCGTGGACGGAGTCGGACTACGACTGGCCGACGAATTCCGTCAGCGAGCTGACGGGCGGATTCATCTTCCGTCAGGGCAGTGACGAATCGGGTGAAGAGGACGATATTCTGAGTTCGTGGGCCGAGGAACGCTGGGATGAAACCGCGGAGGAGCAGCAGCAGCAGCACGAGGAGGAGGAAGAAGAAGAAGCACAAGTGGAGGAGGAAGAGGAGGAGGAGGAGGCAAGAAACGGAAACGTGCGTGGTAAGGAAGAGGCAGCAGCACGAAGGGGCGAGGAGGAAGAGTGGGGAGTGGCGCCTGGAACAAGAGGAGCAGGAGGAGAGTTCCGCAAGGGGAGAGTTACTCATTCGGAAAGGGCTGATTCGGCACCGGTTGCGGAAGCAAGTGGGTGGTCCCGCCAGGGCTGGAACCGTCAGGATGGCGGCAGGAGAAGGGGCACGGGCCGGCGAAACCGCAAGCAAAACGGTCGGCGAAGAAACGGCAGGCGAGCTGGGAGGAGGAACAACGCGAGAGGTGGTGGGAGTGGGAGAGGCGGCGTGAAGAGCGGGGCGGGCCTGAAATTGCAGCAGGGGGAGAAGCGAGGGCGCGAGATGCAGACTTGGAGCAGAACGAGGCGGCTTGACGTGGAGAACAAGGTTAGCGCTGCTAGTGCTGCTACTGCTGCGAGTGCTGTTGCTGCTGCTGCTGTTGGTACAGCTACAACTGCTAGTGCTGCTGCTGGTGAGGGAGGACGGACAGCAGTGCCATTTCGTGCAGCTGTTGCCTTTAGTGGTGCAGCGACGGCATCATCAGCTGGACCAGAAGCCGAAGCAGCATCCGGAGCCGCAACAGCAGTGGTAGAGAGGAGCGGCAGCAGCAGCAGCAGCAGCAGCAGCAGCGGCAACCTTCTAGTGAACCCGAGCTTCGAGCAGCTGCAACCAGACGGTCTGCTGCCTCTGGGATGGACCGCCTCTGGTCATCTCTCTGTGCGCTGCCTCCCTACTACCACCACCACCACCACCACCATCACCACCACCATCACCACCAGCGCTGCCACCAACAGCAGCAGTGGCAGCAGCAGACGGAGCGGGTCAAGCTACTACGGCCTTCCGTCCACCCCTATTACGCCTGCTCATGGCCGTTGCGTTGCCATCCTTGCTTCCGGCTGCTCCTTTCCCTCTTTCCCCACCGCCTCCTTCTCCTCCTCCTATTCCTCCTCCTCTCCCGTGTCCCCCTGCGAGGGTTCTCTATCCCAAACCGTGCCAACCGTGCCAGGAGCTACGTACCTGCTGCAGCTTTCCCTGGCGTCTGTGCCTCTCCCGTTCGCCCCGCCCTCGCCCTTCGCCCTGCAAATCCTGCTGGGTAACCAATCCGTGCTTCTGTCGGCACAGGAGAGAAAGGTGAGGGGAGGAGGAGGAGGGGGAGGGGGAGGGGGAGGGGGAGCGGGAGGAGGAGGAGAAGGCGGAGGAGGTAGTGGGGGAGGAGGGAGTGGAACTCCAGGAGGAAGGGGTAGTGGAGGTGGAATAGGAGGGGGGGACGGAGGTGCGGGTGGAAACTTTTGGGATGGGTGGTTTGACTGGCTACCTGATTTAAACTGGGGTGCCAGCCAAGAAGAAGCTCTTGCTGCCACTGCTGCTACTCCTGCCGCTGCTCCTCCTGCTGCTGTCGCAGCCAGTTCTGGTGCACCTGGAGCGTACATAGCAGCGCTGTCGTTCCACGTGGCGGCCATCCAGTTCGTGGCAGCAGGGGAATCGACGACGGTGGTGCTGCAGGTGAAGGGAGGAGCCAACGCCACAATGGTCGACGCCTTGTCCCTCCAGCTTCTGCCTGCCGCTGCTGCCAATGGCAGCGCTGGTGCTGGTGGTGGTAGTGGGAACAGCACAGACACACCGCTGCTACTCCAGTTCCCTCCCTCGCCTTCCTCCTCCTCTGCCTCAGCGTCCCCTTCATCTTTCATTCTCTCGGGTGATGCTTCTCTGGTCAACTCTTCCTCCTCCTCCTCCTCCTCCTCCTCCTCCTCCTCCTCCTCCTCCTCCTCCTCCTCCTCTGATTCATCCGGTTCCTCCCAAGGCTCTTCCTGGCCCTCCATTCTCCTTGGCACCAGCAGCGGCGACGGTGGTGGCGGAGGCAGCGGCGACACCAACGGTGGTGGTGGCAGCGGCAGCGGAGCTATTTTCTTTGCCCAGCCTTTGTACATCCTTTCGAGCATCGACTCAAATTCCACCTCCAATTCCTCCTCATATTCCTCCTCTCGCTCCTCTCCCTCCTCTCCCTCCTCTCCCTCCCCCTCCCCGTCCTGCAACTCCTCCTCCTTCTTCACCTCTTTCACTTTCTCAAACAGCAAAGCTACTCCCTCCTCCTCATCCTCCCCCTCCTCCCCCTCCTCCCCCTCCTCCCCCTCCTCCCCTTCCTCCGCCACTCCAACACCACCCAGCAGCATCGCTCTTGTCTTCTCCCCGCTTCCTACAAGCACGCCCCTCTGCCCCATCATCACCAACTCCACCACCTCCTCCTCCTTCTCCTCCTCTTGCCTCTGCTTTGGCCCCTCCTCCTCCTCTCCATCTTCCCCCTCCTCTTCCTCCTCCTCCCCCTCCTCCTCCTCCCCCCACCTCTTGCCGTGCCCCCCTCGCTTGCTAGTCCAAGTCGACACGTCAACAGCAGCAACAACGGTTGGAGTTGGAATCATGCACTCTTTTACTCAATGGCTGGCTTCAAACTCCACCGCTGCTGCTACCACCATTTCTGCTGCAACAGATGTGACTGTATCGGTGGAATACTGCGCGCCACTGCAGATGCTCACAGTGGCACTTAACCTCAATCCACCCCTCCTTTCCTCACTAGCTGCAAGCAGCAGCAGCAATGGTAGCAGCGGTGGTGGCAACGGTAGCGGGAGTGGCAACGTGTTTTTCATTCCGTCCTGCCCAATGACTTCTGCTCTCACCACCACCACCAGCAGTACCAACAGCAGCAGCAACAGCACCAGGGGCAGCAGCGCAACAGCGCAAGTGGTGGTGAGCGCACGCGTAAACCTGTGCCGACTCATGGTGACTTCAACGATCAGCACAAGGGGCAGCAATGCACGCACCCTTCTCGCTTCTGATTCCCCCTTCTCCTCCTCCTCGTCATCCTCCCATTCTCATGTGAACTTCGCTTCCACGGCTGCACCTTCTGCTGGTGCCACTAAGACAGACAGACTCCTTGCTGAATCAGACAACACAGGCCAGACATCCTCCGCTCCCGCTTCCTCTCCCTCTCCCTCTCCACCTTCCTCTCCCTCTCCATCTTCCCCTCCCTCTTCCCGCCTTCCTCTCTTTCTCGGAATAGAAGCATCTTCTGGGAGTGCTGATGGTGGGAGTGGTGCTGCTGCAGGCAGACCGTTCGTGGTTCACTCGTGGATGGGCGCAGGTGAGCACTGTACTGTGTGTGGAGTGTGGTGAGGTGCAGTGAGGTGCGGTGAGGTGCGGTGAGGTGAGGTAAGGAATTGCAATGGAGTAAGATAAGGGGATGAGGGGAGGTGGGGATGGGTGATGATGGGATGACGGAGAGAACGGATGGGTGGGTGGATGGAGGAGAATATTGAATTTTTGCTTCGGCTTTCATCCATTGCTCCTTCATCTCATCTCACTTCTCCGTGGCCTTCCTGCTCTGCTCTCCCTGCTCTCCCTCCCCTCCCCTGCTCTCCATCCCTCCCACGCCCCTCCACTAGACACCGCCACAGCCCTAACCTTAATCCCCGCCCAGCCACCACCAACACCACCACCAACCCCATCACCACCACCATCACCACCACCAACAACAACAACACCGCCAACACCATCATCGCCAGCAGCAGCAACAGGCATGAGTCCGTGGCTGATAGCGGTGATAGTCATTGGAGCACTGCTCGTCCTGGTGCTGCTGGTCATCTGCCTCGTGTTGCTGCTGCGCCGCAGGGTGGGCCACAGCGGTGAGTCTCCTTTGAGAAGCCTTGACAACTCTCAGAAGTGGTGCTTGGTTCTCTCTCTCTCTGATAGCGGTGATAGTCATTGGAGCACTGCTCGTCCTGGTGCTGCTGGTCATCCGCCTCGTGCTCCTCCTGCGCCGCAGGGTGGGCCACAGCGGTGATTCTACATTGACACGCCTTTGAGAGTCACAAACAAAACGCTCACCGTTTCCAGATAGGTGCTGCTGCTCATCTGCCTCGTGCTGATGATGATGATGATGACGATCATCATGATCATGATTCTCCTCGTGCTGCTGCTGCTGCTGCTTCACAGGGCCCGCTACAGCGGCGAGTGACTCTGCTTTGAGACGCCTTTGAGAATGATAACAGGACGCCACCCACTTGCTCGTTTCTGGTGCGTTTTCCCATGCGTTTTCCCATGCGTTTTCCCATGCACCCCTCCCTCTACTGGTGCAGCACGCGTGATGGGAGCTGCAAGCTCAGGGGACATTTTCAACAAAGGGAAGGGCGCGGCAGAGGAGACAGGCTATGGAGCAGTTGGAGTGGCTTATGGTGCAGGAGCGAGAGGAGGAGAGGGAGGGGAAGGAGTGGGAGGAGGAGTGGGAGGAGAAGGAAGCGGAGGGATGGCAGGAGGACGAGGTGGAGGAGGAGAGAGAGTGATTTCACCCTTTGAGATGGCAGCGGCACGTATAGGACTCGGAAGGCAAGGGTGGGCACCGTTGGGGGGTGAGGGGACGGGGTTAGGACACACTGGGATGGGAGGAGGCATGGGGGGAGGTATGGCTGTGACGGGAGGGGAAGGCACAGAAGCAGCAGCAGCAGCGGCGGCGGCGGCAGCGGCTGCAGCGGCAGTGGGAGTGGCGGGAGTGGCCGGTGCAGCAGCAGCAGCAGCAGCAAGAAGACCCCAGCATACTGACCCAGCCCATCCTTCAGAAGGCACAGAAAACGCCACAGCAGCAGCAGCAGCATCAGCAGCAGGAGCAGCAGCAGCAGTACCCATCCCACTGCCCCTCACCCGAAGCAGCAGCGCCAGCAGCAGCACCACCGGCAGCAGCAGCAGCAGCAGAAGCAGCAGCGGCGGCGGCGGGACGGCCCCTCCTCTCCGCGTGTTCCGTTTGGCAGAGCTCCGACGTGCCACGTCCAGCTTCCACCCGCGCAACCTGCTCGCACTGCAGCTCGAATCCGCCTGGCGTGACGCCAACAGCAACCGCAACAACAGCAACCCCAACCCCAACGGCAACGGCAACGGCAACAGCGGCGACGCAGATCTCGCCAACCCAGCCGCTGCCTCCTTCGCTTCCTTCAGCTTTCGCAGCATTTCCCGAGGCAGGAGCAGCGGTGGGAGTGGGTCCTTCGGCTCTGGTCGCTCGTCTGGGTCGCTGGGTTCCTTTGGTGGTGCTGGTGGGGCTGCTTGGAGTGGTGGGAGTGGTCGGGAGGTGGGCGGGAGTGGGAGAGCGGGTGCGGGTGACGCGGGGGAGGGGAGTGGGAGAGCGGGAGCGGCGGGAGTGGCGGGGATGGGCGCGTATGGGGATATGTACTCTGCGTGCACGGACGGGGGGAGTGCGTGGGCGGTGAAGCGGATGAGCGAGGAGGCGTGCTCCGCTGATGCTGGGCCAGCCGCGTTTCAGCACGAGGTGAGACTGAGACGGGAGGGAGGGAGGGCTTGGGTGTTCCTGTCACATGAAAGAAGGGTACGTGGAATCTCTGGCGCGTGGGTTGTGAAGCAGCGGATGAGCGAGGGGGAGGCGTGCGTGCTCCGCTGATGCTGGGCCTGCGGCGTTTCAGCACGAGGTGAGACTGAGACGGGAGGGCGGGCTTGGGTGTTCCTGAATCCTTTCATGTGAATGGATGGTGCGTGGAATCTCTGGCGCGTGGGCAGTGAAGCAGCGGATGAGCGAGGAGGCGTGCCGATGCTGGGCCTGCCTCGTTTCAGCACGAGGTGAGACAGGGGGGATGGCAGGGAGCAGTTCTGGTGGTGCAATGCACGGCATCCATACGGCTTGGAGGGTTGAGTTCCAAGTATATTCAACTTTTGAGGCGTCCCCAAAAGTCGTATAATCAAGCCTCTCTCCTCCTCCCCTCCCCTCCCCTCCCCTCCCCTCCACTTCACCTGCTCTCTTCTCCCCAGGTGGCGCTATTCGCATCGCAGTCGCACCACCAGCGCCTGGCGCGCATACTGGGGCTGTGCCACGAGTGCGGGGAGCGCATGGTGGTATACCACCTGCACTCGCCGCTCTCCTCCCTTTTCTTCCGCCTCCACAAGGCTCCAGGTGCGCTTCCCCCCCTCCCAACCCTGCGCCAAACCCTCCCCTCCCCTCCCCCCCGTCCTCTCCCAACCCGATCCCCTGCCGCACCACTTGCTGCTATTCCACCTTGCGCTGACTTTTGAGGCGCCTTAAAAAGCACCCTGCCTTTGCTTCACCCTCAAAAGCCCGCTCCTCTACACCTCACCCTCGCTTCTCACCCTCGCCCACCCCACCTCACCCCATTCCACCGCAGTGGACCACTTCCTGTCGGCGCAGCAGCGGGTGAACGTGGCGATATCTCTGGCAGAGGGGTTAGCCTTCCTGCACGCACACTCGCCGCCCCTCGTGCACCGCAACGTGAAGCCCACCAACGTGCTGCTCTCGCCCAACGGCCACCACGTGCGTACCTTTCCTGTTTTTTTCTGCCTTTTCCTGCTTTTTCCTGCCTTTGTCTTCCTTCCATTGGCACCCCATGCCTTGGCATCATCCCATTCGATCTTTTTTCACCCCTTCTCATGCCGTACGTGCTGCTCTCGCCTCCCTCTCATCCCTCGTGCCCCCTCTCTCCCCCCATCCCCCACCAGGCGAAGCTAACGGACTTCTGTTTCGCGCATCCAGCACCGGGCGAGGACGGAGTGAGGGTGCCGCTGCAAGCGCAGGAGCAGGGCTATGTCGCGCCGGAGCTGCTGCTGCCGCCCGTGCTCTCTTTCTCCCCAGCCACTGACGTGTACAGGTGAGCCTCTGACGTGTACAGATGTGTTACTGACGTGTATAGGCGAGCCTCTGATGTGGACCCTCTCCCTCTCCCCTTACACCTCTTGCGTCCACTCCCCTCACTCCCTTACACTGCGTCTCTCCCCTCAAGCCTCAGCTTCAAAGCGATTCTCCCGGTGATGCTAACAACAGGGCGCCTGGCAGTCATGCTGCGCCCAGAAGACCCGCGGGAATGCCTTGTTATCACAGGTCCATCACTCCACACCTCCCTTTCCCATTCCCTCCTCTCTCCCCGGGGGCGCCTGCTCCCCCTCAGCTTCGGAGTGATTCTCCTGGAGCTACTCACAGGGCGTCTGGCAGTCATGCCGGACCCAGACGACCCAGAGGAGCGCCTTGTCATCACAGACTGGGTCAGTTGCTGCTCATAACGCTGCTGCTGCTGCTGCCGCTGCTGCTGCCGCTGCTGCTGCTGCTGCTGCTGCTGCCGCTGCTGCTGCTGCTGCTGCTGCTGCCGCTGCTGCTGCTGCTGCTGCTGCTGCCGCTGCTGCTGCTGCTGCTGCTGCTGCTGCTGCTGCTGCTGCTGCTGCTGCTGCTGCTGCTGCTGCTGCTGCTGCTGCTGCTGCTGCTGCTGCTGCTGCTCTGAATCCATCCTGCTCTTCTACACACACACTCTTGCACGCACTGAACCCGTCTCCTCACCCACCCACCCACCCCCTCCATCATCACACCAACCTACGCCTCTCAACCCTCTCCCTTTCCCCTCCACCCTCCCTCCCCTCCTCCCCACCCCTCCCCACCCCTCTCCACCCCTCCCCACCCGTCCCCACTCCTTCCCACCCCCCACCAGGCCGTGCATTTCATTAACGAGAACGAGATCGAGCTTATAAAGGATCCCCGCGTCTTCACACCAGCAACAGCCGCCGGTTTCACCGCTCTCGCGGCCCTAGCAGTGGACTGTATCCGAGTGCCAGCAGTTAGGCGCCCTCCCATGCCCTCCGTGCTGCAAAGGCTGATGGAGATCAGGAGGAACGTGTTTGGGTTTCCGGCTAGAGCGCCTCCTGATCCTGGGTTTACCGGGGATAGGGACAGGGAGGGGGGGAGTGGGAGTGGCAGGGGTGGGGTTGGTGGTGGGAGTGGGAGGCAGGGTGGGAGTGGTGGTGCTGGTGGTGTATATAGTGCCAGTGCATATGCGATTGGTTCAAGAGAGGTGGATAGGTCTCGGGCAGAGCAGATGGTGAACGAGGGTGAGGACGAGGAGGGAGAAAGGTACAGCGACAGAGATGAAGTGGAAGAGGAAGAGGAAGGGGAAGAGGACGAGGGAGATGAGGGAGGACGCGGGATGCAGCAAGGGTACGCGTTCGAGCCAGCAGCCGCTGCAGCAGCAGCAGCAGCACCACCACCACTGCCACTGATAGCAGAAGAGCGCTCAGATGAAATGAGAATGGAGGAGGAAGAGGAGGAGACGAGCAGTGGCAGGGATGCTGCATATTACACACCTTCAGAGGACCAGCTCTCTGCTATAGACAACCGCTCTGCAAGAGACGAGCTCTCTTCTATGGAGGACCTTTCTGCTATGGGCGAGCTTTCAGCCATGCCCAGTGCTGGTTTCGACGCTTCCTCTATAGCAGCGGACAGCAGTGTTCCCAGTGACATGAGCGTGAGCCGCTTTAGCGAGGAGGCTTATAGCGAGGATCAGCTGTACGGGAGTGAAATCAGTGGGGGTGAAATCAGTGGGAGTGAGATCAGTGGGAGGGAAGAGGTGAGGGAGGGGGGGTCTATAGGGGAGCAGATGAGTTCTAAGTACTACAGTTTGGAGCATGCATATTCAGTGGGTGATGCCCAGGCTTTTGAGTCGACTCAAAGGTCACCTCGAGGGTCTATAGGCGAGCAGATGAGCTCCAAGTATTACAGTTTGGGGCATGTATACTCAGTGGGTGATTCTCAGTCTTTCTCTTCTCCTGCTGCTGCTCCTGCTCCGGCCTACCCACCTGTGTCTGCATCTGCTGCTGCTGCCGGTGCTGCTGCTGGTGCTGCTGCTGTTGCTGCTGTTTCTGCTGCTCCCGGTGTTGCTGCCAGTTCACCCATTGCTTCCCATCACGGGTCAGACTCAGCTGCTCTTTCCGAACCGTTAGTTCCTTTCTCCCTCTCGCCGCCCGATCTACAAGCTGCCTCACCTGCTCATTCCGACCTTGGTGTTGGGCTCGGGCTAGGGTTTGCAGCAGGAGGAATGTATTTTTCCAACCTCAGTGTTATCGAGAGTGGCGACGAAGCAAGCGAGTCGGACTATAGCGAGGACGGACGGGGCCGCTTCACTGCTACCCCACCCCTTCCTCCTGCTGCTGCTGCTGCTACTCCTCCGGACATCTCCCCTGCTTTCCCTCCGGCTGAACCATCCTCTGGCATATCAACATCTGTACCTCCACCCTTCAACCTCGCGACGTCTCAGGACATAGCAGCAGCAGGTGCAGCAGCAGGTGCAGCAACAGGTGCACCAATAGGTGCAGCAACAATAGGTGCAGCAACAATAGGTGCAGCAACAATAGGTGCAGCAACAATAGGTGCAGCAACAATAGGTGCAGCAACAATAGGTGCAGCAACAATAGGTGCAGCAACAATAGGTGCAGCAACAGGCACACTTGCAGGCGCAGCAGCAGCAGCAGTAGACGCACCTCCTTCCTTGGACATCCCTCCTCGTGGTGTGTGATTTTCCTCTTCCTCCACCACGTTCCCGTCCCCCCCCGCTACCAAAGCAGCAGCCGGATCCGGGTGCTACTACACCGACTCTGAAGGAAGTGAAAGTGTTCAGAGCGACAGCTTTGATGTGCCTCAACCTCAACGGTATTAGGAAGAATCTGTACGGCCACGCGACGCGAGGCTACCAAAGCAGCAGCAGCCGGGTCCTCATGCTACGGCACTACCCCGACTCGTCAGAAGGCAGTGAGAGTGTTCAGAGCGAGAGCTTTGATGTGCCTCAACCTCAACGGTATTAGGAAGAATCTGTAAGGCGAATCTGTACGGCCACCAAAGCAGCAGCGGGGTCCTCCTGCTGCTGGTACTACACCGACTCGCCAGAAGGCAGTGCTGGGCAGAGCGAGAGGGAGGGGCCGTGCTGAAGAAAGGCAGGCGGGAATCACATGAAGCATGTTCTCCTGAGGTGGAGGCATCTCAAACACCATAGCAGGAGCAGCTGGGTCCTCTTGCTACAACACCGATTTGTTAGAATGCAGTGAGTGTGGCTGAGCTGGGCAGAGCAAGAGGGAGGCAGCATGTTGAAAAGAGGCAGCAGCGGCACCTCTCAAGGAGCATGTCCTTTCCTTTCGTAGCTTCCAAATAACCAGCTGAGGCAGACTTTTCAGTCGACTCAAACGAGCGAGAGGGAGGGGCCGTGCTGAGACGAGGCGGCAGCGGCACCTCTCTCAAGGAGCATGTCCTTTCGTAGCATCCCAATAACCAGGAGAGGCGGTGTGTGAGTGGGTTCCTCGTCTACGATACCACACCACACCAACTCTGAGCTGCGTAGAGTATGAGCTGAGGAATAATAAATGTGTGTATGTAGGTGGTAGGGGCATGTAGGGCATTGGCATTGTTGTGGGTGTACCTGGTACCACCGCATGTCCAATGAACATTAATGGTAGTCAGATGAGAATGTGTCAGTGTCTACAGAAAGGGTTAAACCAGAGTCCCAACAGCCCCAAACTGCTGTTGGGCTGAAAAAAGCCCTTAAGATCGTTTCAAGACTAAAGTCTCAGAGTAGTGATGTATTAGCGGAAGCGTAATAGTGAACTAATTGAACCACCTTGCATTGGTACCGTCATCGCCCGGATATAAGACATATATGTCTTATCTCGTACACTAGAAAAAATGCTTGGGTTATCTTGTATTTGGGGAGGTTTTGGGTGTCTTATAAGTCTTATAAATGGAAACCTTTTTAACTACTTGATTTTTTTTCACACATCTTGAAGAGAGTTTCTCATAATGAGTGTGGATGTTGCGAAGGTGCCACTTTGGCAACCATTGTTCGGGAAGCCACGTCATGGAAAATACTTGCAGAGGCAAATTTGGTAGTACCTCAGTCAGCACGTGGAAGAATTCGCGCATCGCAAGTGTAAAAATGTACGCGGTATTTCAAGTTTCGCTATAATATATTGCAGTTTCGATTATACGACACATATGTCTTATCTCGTTCACACAAATAGGTGTCTTATAATGAGGCTAGCCTGTTTATAAGAGACACCCGGATAAAAGACAACCCCTGTCTACTATTCAACACTGTCTACTATCCGGGCGATGACGGTATGTGAGAACAAGATAAGTTGATAATAGCGAAGAGATACAAAGCTTTATATGATTACAAAGGAATATGAAAGGGTTCACTAACTGTAACTGCTGTTGCGGTTCGATACAGCGACGACTCGGGTAACTGCTCAATAGTGAGTCAATTATGTGTCCTTGCTGTCGCGCTGCTTTTCGTCAAGTCAAGGTCGCTGACCTTTGACCTTCACTCAACCTCTTGTTGTCTTTTTGTCAACCGCTTTGGTTGACTCGCTGTTTCTTCGCTTCAGTTTGCTTTGCTTTTGTTGTAGTGCTCGACACATCAGAAGCGTGAACTATATGTTTCCAACACTCCCCTTCGCTTCTGGAGTGTGGTTGCCTTCGTTGCTGATGACGTGGCTTTGTCCAGTCAGCAGCATGCAGTACTCGAACTTCTGCCTTCCGAGTTTTTTGGTCAAGTAATCTGCTGCCATCTCGGACGTGGGGCAGTAGGATAGCTCGAGTCTCCCTTTCTCGATCTCGTCCTTCACGAAGAAATAGCGCAGGGCAATGTGCTTCGTTCGGTTCGCGAACCCGTTCTTGTTCGCTATGCAAATTGCAGATTGGTTGTCGTAGAAGAGGGAGAAGCTGGGTAACTGGGCCAGCTTTACTTCTTCCAGTAGTTCGCGAAGGTACAGTCCTTCCTTGGTGGCTGAGAAGAGTGCTATGTATTCAGTTTCAGCAGAGGAGAGAGCAATTAGTTCTTGCTTGCTCGACTGCCACGAGATAGGACCGATGGGCTCGAGTCGATAGATGTAGCCGGTGCGTGATCGCCTGTTATCAGAATCGTCTGCGTGGTCAGCATCCACGTAGCCGATTAGCTTTGGAGTAGTGGTTCCGGTCTTGTGGTAGGTTAGGCCGATCGTTGGTGTGCTGACGAGGTAGTGTAACGCGCGGCCGAGTTCTGCCATGTACTATGCTTCGGGCCGCTTGAGGTGGGTAGCAAGCTGACTCGCTGAGTATGACAGATCCGGTCGGCAGGTGACGGCTGCGAAGAGCAGACAGCCCAATTTTCGTTGGTAGTCACTTAGGCCGGCAGGTCCAAGCAGGTTGGATTTCTCCTGGTGATTTCCCGCGGTGTAGCGGTAGGGCGTGGAAATGAAGGCTGGCGTCAATCCGAAGCGTTTTGCGATGGTGTCGGCGTATTTTGTGGCGCTGAGGTAGATCGCGTTCTCTCCGTCTAGAATGTTGAGTCCAAGGTATTGGGTCACGGTAGAGGAAACCGTGAGTGAGAGATCCTATTGCAGCTCCCCTTCAAACCAGTTGGTGATGCCGTCAGTGGAGCCTATGTAGAGTAGGTCGTCTACATACACGATGAGCAGAATGTACTCAGCTTCCTTTGTGAGCCTGTACATGCCCTGGTCGTGTGGTAGTTGCTTAAAGCCGATGCGGATTAGTCGGGCGTGTAGGTACTGCTGCCATAGCCGCGGAGCTTGCTTGATGCCATACAAGGATTTCACCAGCTGACAGACTTGATTAGGGTCTGTGTCGGATCCGTGTGGTTGCTCGACGAAGATTTCGGCGTCGACGGGAGCGTCGACGAAGATTTCGGCATTAGCCATGTCGATTTGGCGAAGCTTCTTCCTCTTTATGGCGAGGAGGATTCGCAAAGAGGTATGTCGGCTGACCGGCGCAAAGGTTTCGGTGAATTCTCGTCCGTGTTCTTGGTCGAAGCCACGCACGGCCCATCATGCCTTGAATTTATCAATTGTTTCGTCGGCTTTCGTCTTCACGCGGAAGACCCATTTTCCCGTGAGAATGGTTTTGTTGCGTGCCAGTCCGATGGGTACTATCTTCCAGGTGTTTCTGTCTTCCAGTGCCTTTAGTTCCCTGTCCATGGCTTCACGCCATTTTTCCCTGTGTTCCCCCCCCAGAGCCTGCTGAACCGTAGCAGGCTGTCGCGGCATTGGTGCGCCATGGACAGCGGTGACGAGTCCAAGAATCTGCAGCCCACTCTGTGTGAAGCGAGGGAGATTTGGGTCCTCGGGATAAACTACTTCGTCTACCGCTTCTGGATCAGGTAAGAAGTTGGGGCTTATGCGTTTTGAAACGTTTGTGTTGACCGACTGTGGTGTAACGTAACCGTTGTCGGCGAAGTCGTAGTAGACTTCGATGTTGATGCTTTCGCGAGGATTTTCGTCATCCATCGGAACAGGCACCGAGCAGTAGGGAAGAGGTCCGACTTCCTCGGATGCTCCGTCCACGTTTTGCTCATCCTAGTCAGCCTCATCTGCTGGTGTGGCGAAGGCTCAGTTGCCACGGAAGCCGCCAGTGAGGTCTCGTTCTGCTGCCAATTTGTCCAGGTACGTTTGGAGAGTAAGTCGCTCATAGAAAATCACGTCACGTGCTGCTACTGTTTCCTTCGAGTGGACGTAAAAAATCTTCCACGTGTTGTAGTGTTTTTCGATGCCCAGGTGTAGTCCCCATTGTGCGTGTTGTGAGAATCGTCCAGCTCGTGCAGTCTGTGGTCGGTACTGTACCACGCAGCCAAAAACTCGTAACATTTTTGTGTTGCGCAATTTTCCTGTCCACAGCAGATGCAGTGATGCGTTGTTCGGAAGCGAGGATGATGAAAGCAAGTTGTGCAACAGCACAACGTGGTCCATCGCCTCAGGCCAGTGATGGTTGGGTAGCCGCATGCCACGTAGTAGCTTGCACATGGTGTTCTGGAGGGTCCTGTTCATTCTTTCTGCCACGCCTTGATGCGGATGAGCGTAGGGAAGAGAAATGAGTCGCTTGATGCCTCTCTCCGCCAAGTATTGTTTGAACCACTGTGACTGATATTCTCCTCCTTCGTCTGACTGAAAGCTTTTCAGCTTCACTCCTGATTCTCTTTCTGCTACTGGGAGCCAAGCGACGAATGCTTCGAAGGACATGTCGCGACTTGGAAGGTTGAGGTGCAAGACGTATCTGGTGGCGGCGTCGATGAACGTGATTACGTAGTTGTATGCTCCTTGTCCGCTTTCGCGGGTGTACAGTATGTCGCTGTAGACCTTCTCCAGTGGTGCGTATGCAAGCGCGCTTGGGTTGTGGTGAGAGACGAACGGCTGATGGGGTAAGTCGGCTTTAGGGCAGGTAAAGCAGGTTCCGCGGACTCCTTGAAGTTCTCTGCCGTCGGGTAGGAGTAGTGAGTCTTTATCGAGCACTCCTGCTCTTATCGTGTTGTTCAGTGTCGTATTGCTGGGATGCCCTAACCTTTGATGCCATAATGATTCGTCGGCGCGATGTCCAAGTAAACGTTTGTACATATTGGAGTTGGAGTAAGAACTTGCGGTGATGTTGGTGCTTCTGAGAACTTTGTGTGGGGCGGGAGTCAACTGACGAGTGGGAGTCGGTGTGGTGTCGGTGATGGGAGTTGGTGCTGATGAAGAGCTGGCGATTGGTGCTGGTGCTGTTGTTGTTGCTTCTGCTTCTGTCGGTGTCGCTGGTGCTACTGTTGTCTCTGCTGCTGCCGATGTTGATGCTGTTGCTGTTGTCTCTACTGCTGATGTCTGTTGAATCACTGCTAACGCCCTTGTCCGTTCTGCTTCAGGTATGGTGTGCGAGTATCAGAAACCTCCGGGGCTGAAGTCCGGGTCGAGATCTGGTGGGTGCGACCAGGTAGTGAAATCGACGATCGCGTCGCTGCCAAGTGTTCCTTGATCTGGAACGAAATCAAGAACGAAGACGTTGTTCTTCAGGACCGCTTTGCCGATGTGAAGTCCTCCCTTCCCGTTGTACAGCTTGAAATCCTGAGTGGTGCTGTCGGCTTCAAGGTGAATCCCTTTTGCCATGAGTTGGCTGACGCTGAGTAAGTTGTAGCCCAGTCCTTCTGCAATCAAAACCTTTGACATCTGTAAAACGACGTTAGTCTCGCGGGACTGAAGTTGAACTACTCCTTGTCGTCGTGTGCGCAGGTTCTGGTTGTTGGCGACGGTTATCACGACTTCCCGGTTGAGGCGTTGTTCCCGTTGGACGAAGCGGTTTGATGAGCACATGTGTTGTCCACAGCAGCTGTCCAAGAACCAAGTAT